TGGACAAGCTGTCGGTCCTGCGCCTCAGCGCCGGCTACCTCCGCGCCAAGAGCTTCTTCAGCGGTAAGGGGCACCGCCGGCGGGAGCATCCCCCCCTTTTTTTTCCCCTAGAGGTGCTTTTTTTTCCCCTACAAGTGCTTCCACCCCCACCACCCCCCTTTTTAACACCGGATTTTCTTGCTTTGCAATCTCAAGCTGCGAGGCTTCAGGATGCATCACGCCTGGGCGAAAGCAGAGCTTCCACTTGTTTGGAATTAGAGGGATCTGGACAGATGAAGTTGATTTTGTCTGTGGGTTTTGCTGAAGCAGAAAATTGAGGTTTCGGCTGGAGGGTTTCTGTGTGATCGCGGGCTGAGGCTTCGGCAGGCACAGCTGTAAGGATAGCAGTGTATTGTGCAGCCCAGTTGGAAAGTTTCAGGATCCAAGTGACTTTTTTTCCCCTGCTATAATAGACTAGAGAAATACTCGGTGTCTGGCAATGAATAATAATTACCTGGGTTGTGGTTACAATTTACTTGGGAACCTTTTAAAACAGACTGTGTTAAAGGCATGTCTGCATTCCACTGGGCTATAATTGTTTTAATTAATAGGAGCCCACAGGAGGGTATTTAGGCAGCCCTGGATTTTCCCAGTGAAATAGCAGTGACTTGAGAATACTGTATATGACTTCAAACACCACAATTTCTCTTTTCAATTCCAGATTATTGTATATGTTGAATGCCCTTTTTTCCTTCTTTCCCATTCTCTTTTAAACACTGCTTGTGGGATTGGCAAGCAGTGAAATGAAAAATGAATGGTCTTGGAGAGGAGTTATTTGCCTTGCAGTATCAGGTCAACTTTTGATGGTATTGGTTGTGTTTTTCACGCTGTTTTTGCCCTGGTAAGGAGTTCCGCTGTGTCAGCCTTTGCAATGCTGAATGTGTTGCCCAAAACCCATCATCCCCAATGAATCTCTGAAGCAGAGGAGGACTGTTGTGGTGCTGGTGTTTCTGAAGCACAGCTATTCTTGTGTGGGGCAGAAGTCCGTGGCACAGTGCAGGCCTTGGTCTTCCCCCGAAACATTAATGATTTAAATTTTGCTGCTTAGAGAATTTATGAAATTGGAGGGGTGGCAGGGATTCCTTAAAATGGTGGTTTTGAAATGGCTTGTCTTGTTGCAAAACGTCACACCAGGAGTTGCTTTGGGGCTTGGTGTCCTTTCCAGGGTGATTGTGCCAGGGTGCCGTGCAAGCTTGGCTGGGGAGCAGTGAGCACAGGATGACTCGGGGGGGATGAGGCCCCTGCTCTGCTAGGGCTGTGCATCCTGGGGTCTGATGTTCCTGCATCCCTGGCACGGTGGGTTACTTTGGTTTTGCATTGTGAGAAACTAGAAAATCCTGTTCTGAGGTTCTTTCTCATTTTTCTATTTTTCTGTCATTCCATCTGGTTTTATTTTGTGGAGCCAGCTTCCCAACCACTGAACGCATCAATGTGTCTGAAGCTATGGGATGGTGCCCGCCTCTGTCT